TGGTTCAGTGGTTTGAGCTCGGACCTATGAACCAACCAGAAGGTCACAGATCCCCAGTAGGCACGTACAGGAGGCAGCTGATCAATGATTCTCATTTATGTTTCTCCCCCTCTCCCTTCCTCTCTCTGAAACCAATAAAAATATATCTTAAAAAATAATCTGATCCCAAATTATTGCTATAAGCTGGAACAATTAACGGAGTAAACAGTAAATTAAAGCCAAAATTAAGAGTTTAGGTTTAAAAACCAACTGGAAGATTCAAAATTCTGCAAAAGGATAACTAGGTACCTACTGTGTGCCACGCACTAGAGATAGAGACATGATTCCTAGATGGGACAATTCCAGACCCCCCCCCCCCGCCCCAAAGAAAAATGTCTATGCTAGACCGAACACATCTTCCTGTGACCTCTCATCTCCTTAGCACTTACTAATAATTCCCTAGCCCCGTTGTGTTAATTCTTCGGGCAGAGACCACACACCACGCCTTGAGTCTCAGGTTTGCAATGATGACCGGAGTCCAGTACCCTCCTCTTGGATGACCGCTTTGGCCCTGCGGCCTCAGGCCGATTACTTGGAAGCTAAGGAAGCGAAAACGCGCGCCGCGGGAGTGTCGGGGAGAAAGCGCCCGGAACAGCCCGGAGCGGCCTGACTTCCCGCCGGGATCCAGGCTCGGGAGACGCCGGAGTTCCTGCGGTTACTGCTCTGCGCATGAGCGGAAGTCAGGCTTTGCGCAGTCTGCTGGGTCTGTGGGTGTGTGTGTTAACTGATTGGCTCCATATTCAGTGCAGAACAACCCGTTTGCATCTGTTCTTCCCGTAGCACCCTCCAGCTGCTAGAAACAAGATCGCATTACAGGAAGCATTGAGGCCGCCCGACTCCCCATCTTCCCGTAGTAAAGATGGCGACGCCCTGACAGTAAACGACACGTCAAACCACTTCCGCGTTTCTCCTGCGCCCTCGTTCAAGATGGCGGACGAGGCCACCCGGCGTGTCGTGTCTGAGATCCCAGTGCTGAAGACTAACGCCGGACCTCGCGATCGGGAGCTGTGGGTGCAGCGCCTCAAGGAGGAATATCAGTCTCTTATCCGGGTGGGTTGTGCTGCTGCGGGCGCAGAGCGCTGTGGGTCATCCTGTGTGCTCAGGAATAGGCTCCGTGCGGAAGCCATTTCCGGTCTTAAAGGCGAACCCCCAAATTCATAGACACAAGAACTGCGGGGTGAGGGGACTAGGCGGGGGCGGGGGCGGGTCGGGGCGCCGGCAGGGGAGCCGCGCCGCGAGCCAGGGTCGGGCCGACTTCCTGCGGGGTGCGCCTCGGAGGGTGACGTGTCGCTCCGGCTCCGGGCTTGCCCTCCTGGGGGCGAGGAGCGGGCTGTCCCCACCGACCCCTCGGCCCCTCTTCACTCCGAGGGGAGGCGCGCACGTTCGGGCCGAAAAGTCAAAGAGGGGGTAGTGGCAGGATGGCGGGACCCTGTGCGGCTCCCCCTCTTCTCTGAGAGGAGAGCTGGAGCGGCCGGTGTCTGTCCTGCCGCGTGCCTCTCTTCACCGCAAACCTGTTGTGCACCCCGCACCCAGGAAGGGGCTCCGAGGCCGGAGGTGGCGGGCCGGGCTACTAAACTCGTTAAGTGGGGAAAGGGAGAGGGAGGCCGAAGAACTGCTAGAATGTGCTGAACCGGCGAGGTAGCTAATCCGGGTGGGGCTGGTCAGGGCGGGCTCCCTGGAGGAGGCGGTGCTTGAGGTGGGAGGAGGACGTTCACGGCGAAAGGCACCGACGCTAGAAACGCCGTGATGTGTATGAAGAGACACCTAGTTCAGAGTTGCTGCAGCACCAAATGCGTAGCAAGGAGTGGTGGGCAAGACTCGAGGGAGAGGTCTGAGCACTCGAATTTTATCTTGGAGGCGTTGGGATTCCTTTAAAGGATTTTCACCAAGGAATATTCTGGTCAGATTTGAGCTTAGATCAATCACCGTGGCAATAGAGAGGAAAATGGAATTGACAGGGATAAGATTGAAGGTAGGAGAAAAGTTAGGAGTCTGTGATTAATCCAGGCAAAAGAAAGTTGATGCTCTAAAGTCTGAACTCTACAGTTAGTTATAGTGAGAATAGAGAGGAGAGGTAGATTTGAAGACTATTCAGAAGGTAAAATCAGCAGGACATGGTTGCTGGGCTAGAGTAAAGGAGAGGGAGAATCAAGAATTATTCCAGCTCGGCTGGTGCGGCTCAGTGCTTGAGCATGGACCTTTGAACCAGGAGGTCATGGTTCCATTCCTGGTCAGGCACAGGCCCAGGTTTCAGGCTTGATCCCTAGTGGGGGCGTGCAGGAGGCAGCCGATTGATGATTCTCTCTCATCATTGATGTTTCTCTCTCCTTCTCCCTTCCTCTCTGAAATCAATATAAAAAAACTTTTTTAAAGGACAATTCCAGGTTTCTAGCCTAAATGACAGTGAATGTTGATGCTACTGCCTGAGATTGATGCAGTGGGGGGACAGGTCCGAAGGAACAAAAGCAAAAGCTGAGCTTGAGGTACCTGTGAAACAAAGGTAGAAATATATAGTTGGATACTGGAGTCTGAAGCTGGAGAAAACATCTGGATTAAAGATAAAGATTTGGAAGTCCATCAGCATGTGGGAGCTAATCAAAACCAGGACCATGTCATGTCCTCTAGGGAGGGAGCACCCCATTAAACGAGTTGTGAGCTGAGGGCAGAAAGTGTCAGAAGTGAAAAGAAAACTCAGCTGGTGTCATCAAATCTTTTGTGCTAAAGTGAGTGGAGCCCAAGCATTCTCTAGTCTGGGCAATTGCTAGTCCCTGCTTACCAGTGTGACTTTGTCTTTATTTTTGCTTATGACAGGAAAATTGGGCAAATGTACTAAAAAAGAAAGTAGTCACATAATTTTCTTTTGAGGGAAGGGGAACTGCCCTTGACCTCAGCTTCCCCCTCAAAGGCCTAATTCTTTGCTTTTAGTATGTGGAGAACAACAAGAATGCAGACACTGATTGGTTCCGACTGGAGTCCAACAAGGAAGGGACTCGGTAGGCAGACCCTCTTGGGGGGTATCAGGGTGGGAATCGTACGTGGTTTTAGCATTTTAGTATCTCAAAGCTCACTGCCAGGCCATCCCTGCTTCATATTGGCTGTGTCCACTCCCACAGCTCCAGAGTTTCCCAATTCCTATCCTATGAGTCTCCCAGGCTAGTCACCTAAGCCAAGAAGATGTCACTTGAGTATGAGAAGAATGGTCAAATTAGACTGAGGTTTGGTCTTCGTTATAGGTGGTTTGGAAAATGCTGGTACATCCATGATCTCCTCAAATATGAGTTTGACATCGAGTTTGACGTGAGTATGATGGTGTGGGAAATATGGAGGTTAACAAGCTAACATTTCTTGAAAGGACCAAAGAAATTTTCCAATGGGAGGCAAAAACTGAGCTTTGAAGCAAGCGTAGATTAGTTACTAATCTCTAAGTCCAGAATTCTGGTTTGCACATGCTGCTTGGGGAGTTTGCCAAACATTTCAGTTCAACTGAGAAATGTATGTCAGGTTACATTAGTTCCTTTATATCCTGATTCTCTGTTATTAAGGTTTTATAATTCCTCCAGATTCCTATCACATATCCTACTACTGCTCCAGAAATTGCAGTCCCTGAGCTGGATGGAAAAACAGCCAAGATGTACAGGTAGGACTGAATAGGAGATGGGAAAGGGTCAAAACGGGCTTAGGGAAGAACCTGGGGAGGCAGGAATTTTCCCAGAGGCCTGCTGGCCTAGAGGGGCTCTAGGCCTCCCTCTACCAAGCCTGGGCACTGCACTTAGCTGACCTTGTTCTCAATTTGGATCACTAGTAGCCTTGTGCTCCCAAGAGGCTGCTATGTTTCATGGTAACCTTGCATGTCAACACCTTCTTCCCTCTTATCCCTCTCATAGGGGTGGCAAAATATGTCTGACTGATCACTTTAAGCCTTTGTGGGCCAGGAACGTGCCCAAGTTTGGACTAGCTCATCTTATGGCTTTGGGGGTAAGTTTGGGTTATTTGCTTCTCCCTCCCTCTCCCGTCCACCCCCCCTCTCAAAAATCAATAGAAATATAAAAAAGAGAAGTAACTGAGAATAAACAAGGAATAACAGTGTTTTCCCTTGGGTGTGCTCCCCTAGAATCTCTCTAGGAAGGAGCTTCTGATAGAACAAGATGCATTGCCTTGGTGGTAGTAACCTCAGGTCTCCCTTGTCTTACAGCTGGGTCCATGGCTGGCAGTGGAAATCCCCGATCTGATTCAGAAAGGCGTTATTCAGCATAAAGAGAAATCATCTGAAGGATCAAGCCACTGAGGCTGGACAGGGGACCTTTGAGAGGCTCCGTTCCTTTTTCCTGTGTGTCCCTTACTCATCTAATGCTTCCCTCACACTCTTTCACCCACAACTGTTATTAAGTAGCTGCAGCAGGCATTGCTGGAAAAAAAACCAACAAACAGTATTGCTATGAATGTCTAAGGCTACACAGGGCGGGGAAAGCCTGGGGCTTTGAAAAACCCAAAGGTCACTTCTATCCCCTCCCCAGGTGGAGCGATGTGAGGTCCTGGAGGGACAGCGGGTGGCGGAAAGTGGGTCCATGGACTTTTGGTTTCTGGAGATAACTCATCAATAAAAGCTGCTTCCTCTGGTGGCCTGTGGTCCTCATTGGTGGCTGCTAACAGCAGGCCAGCCTTCCCCGCCCTGCGGAGAGGCCCCCGCCCTACTGAGCGCCCCCTGCAGCTCTCTGGGAAGCATCTGTGCTGCAAACCTGGGGGCCAGGCTCCGCTGTCAGACCCACACCCTGTGGGCCACAGAATGAGGTGACGGGACCTACACTTCAGGGACATGGTTCGCAGTAACGGTGTAAAGACAATGCTGGGCAAGGCTGGGAACTGTGGGTCCTAAAGTTGGCTGCGTTGCCATGGTGTCGGGGGGCGGGGTCGCGCAGGCGCTGAGGAAGCAGGCGCTGGGTCGGAGTGCGGCTGCGCAGGCGCCGTGAGCGACGCTGAAGCCGGTGGCGGCGGGACCAACAAAGATGGCGGCGGCCCCGGCGGCGGGAGCGACCTGGGCGGCAGCTGCGCCTGAAGTTGCAGCCGGGCCCGCGGGGGTGCTGCACAGGGGTCGGGGGGGGCAGCCCTGAGCTGGGGCCTGGCCCCGGTTGGGCTCCCCCGCCGCACCCCGGGGCACAGGTACGGGCCGCGGCGTGACGGCCGGTGTGGGGGGGACGCCCCGTACCTGGGAGGACGCCCTCCACCCAGGCGGAGGCGCAGGGCACGGCGGGCCTGGGGGAACGGGGCTGCCGGGGCGCGTCCGGGGACCGTGGGGCACACAGCGCCGGGCTCCGGAGCCAATCAGCGGCCTCGGCCTGTCTGCCCTCAAGGGGGGCGGACCCGAGAAGCCCTGCCGCCGGGCGACCCGGGCGACCCGGGGTCAGGGAGGCCCGCCCGCCCGCCTTCCGCAGGGCCCCTGAGCCCCACACCGCGTAGGAGCTCGAGGGTGCGGGAGGGAGGGAGTCGCAAGCCACCCATTTCCTGGGAGGGGCAGGGCGTGCGGATGGGGTGCTGTCTCCTGGGCTGTTGTCCTGGCACCCGCCCCCAGTGACCAGGGCGCCCGAGGGGCTCTGGTAGCGCCCGCTTGACGTCCCGGGTGCGAGGCTGTCGCCACCCGATGATCCAGATCGCGGCTGTCCTAGGCCTCTCAGCACCGCTGTTTCCGCAGGAAGGTGCTGAGGCAGGAGTCAGGCCTGGGCTGCCATCACCCATTCATTGATCCTCAATGATACAGTCACACCGCACTTCTCCAGCAGTTCGATTCTCAACCAAGTTGTTCACAGAAAAAAAAGTCTCGGTTGTCGACCAAAACTTCAGTTTTGGACCTGACAACCCTTTCATGCTGAGACCTCTACCTGACAAAAAGCATCTCTCCGGCAACAAAGGAAAGAATGCTTTTGTGATTAGCACATTTTTCAAACAGAAAGAGTGCTAATGTTGCTAAGGGTGTGAACGCGCTCATAAGATAACAATCACAGGCAGTTGAATAGGTAGAAAAATTTGTTTGTATAAAGGAAAAGCAGTTAGCCAGTGGTAGCACTTTAGAGGCAGTGATAGATGGAAAATCAGTTTAAGGCTAATAGAGGGTGTTTCAATAAATTTAAGAAAAGAAGTGCTTATTTATAGATTAGACATGTACTGTATATACTAGTAAGAAAGGTTAAAATGGAATCATTTGAGGGTTTGGAACAGATTAATTCAATTTACATTCTTTCTGATGGGAACAAATGATTCAGTTTTCTAACAAATCACTTCTCCAACAGCTTTCCAGAATGAATTTTTCTGAACTTAAGTTCAAGAACTGAGGTTCAGTGTGCTAAGTATTTACTTTGTGTCAATGTTTGTGTCAAACATTGAGCTAGGTACTGAGATACAATGTCTGATATGACAACTCGGTTCCTGCCCGCAGTACACATAGAAGCTAGTATGGTAGCTTAGCTTCCCCCTCTGTCCATATTCATATGCTGACCCTCTCTTCTCCCAGGTCCTGCCTGTGGTGACCACAATGCCCCAGGCCTCTGAGCACCGCCTGGGCCGGACCCGAGAGCCACCTGTCAATGTCCAGCCCCGAGTGGGATCCAAACTACCATTTGCCCCCCGGGCTCGCAGTAAGGAGCGTCGAAACCCAGCCCCTGGGCCAAACCCCATGTTACGGCCTCTGCCTCCCCGGCCAGGTCCACCTGAGGAACGGCTCAAGAAACTGGAGCTGGGACAAACACGGACCTCAGGCCCTCGTCCCAGAGGCCCCCTTCGGGCAGATCATGGAGTTCCCCTGCCTGGCTCACCACCCCCAGCTGTGGCTCTGCCTCTCCCAACCAGGACCAACCTAGCCAGGTCCAAGTCTGTGAGCAGTGGGGACTTGCGTCCAACAGGGATTGCCTTGGGAGGGCATCGAGGTGCTGGAGAGCTAGGGGCTGCACTGAGCCGCTTGGCGCTCCGGCCTGAGCCACCCACTTTGAGACGTAGCACCTCTCTCCGCCGCCTAGGGGGCTTTCCTGGGCCCCCCACCTTGCTCAGTATACGGACAGAGCCCCCTACTTCCCATGGCACTTTCCGCGTGATATCTGCCCGGCCCTCCAAGCCTTTCTACTCCGATGACAAGATGGTGAGGACTTGTCAGCACACATGACCTTCCATTCCCATGTTCCTCCAGCTTTCTTGCCGTCATATGGCTTTCCTCCCCCCCCATCCCAGTTCCTTTCTTAGCCCCTCACTGCAGCATTTGGACTCTAATCTCCCTATCCGTTCAGGGTTGTCTGTCACTCCCCGCATGGTGCACCACTTCAGTCCCCAGGGTTTAACCCAGCCATTTGGGATTCTCCTTTGGGTCCCCCAGGCCCTTACTCTCCCTTGCCTTCTCTCCTAGGACACTGCCTAGGCCAGTGATGGCGAACCTTCTGAGCTCGGCGTGTCAGCATTTTGAAAAACCCTAACTTAACTCTGGTGCCGTGTCACATATAGAAATTTTTTGATATTTGCAACCATAGTAAAACAAAGACTTATATTTTTGATATTTATTTTATATATTTAAATGCCATTTAACAAAGAAAAATCAACCAAAAAAATGAGTTTGCGTGTCATCTCTGACACACGTGTCATAGATTCGCCATCACTGGCCTCGGCCTAATTAACCTCTGGAGCTGAAGAGGGGCAGGCTCAGAAAATCTGAGCTAGTGTGGTTGCCCATTTCTTGAGCAAGTGAGCTAGGTTGATTGCATTTGGAGCCATCAGGAGAGGGAGCAGGAAAGGGCCACGGGGGCAGGAGGGGGCCTTGGACACAACAAGGTGGGGGTGGGGAGCAGCTGGGCAACCATGCCAGTGCTTGGTCAGTTGCCCTGGGAGCTGTTTTGCCGGCTCGCTGGGCAGAGGAACAAGTGGAGAACAGGTGGGACTGGCATGGCTGAGTCTGTGGTGCACTCAACTGTGATGGGCTTCCTGCTCATGTCCAGTGAGGTAGGGAGACCCCAATACCCAGTGAGGGAAAGAGGGTAGAGTTTGGGATGAAGTATTGGGGCAGCATGCTGTTGGAAGGTTAAAGGGTCATGCGGGCTGTATGGGGACCGCTGACGGCGCTCTGACCTTCCAGGCTCATCACACACTGCTCCTGGGCTCTGGTCATGTTGGCCTCCGAAATCTGGGGAACACGGTGAGAGCCATTCTCCTGTCCCTCCTTTCTAACAGGAATGGGGAGCGGTTGCTGGGCGGGACCTTGGCTGCCTTGGGGAGGGGGCACTGCCACTCCTCTAAGTCTCCCTGGGCCTGGTCTGGAGAGGTACCGGCAGTGTCTCTGCTGCTCCTAGTGCTTCCTGAATGCTGTGCTGCAGTGTTTGAGCAGCACTCGGCCTCTCCGGGACTTCTGCCTGCGAAGGGACTTCCGGCAAGAGGTGCCTGGAGGGGGCCGAGCCCAAGAGCTCACTGAAGGTGGGGCAACAACTCCTGTCCCCCCTGCCTTTCAAATCCTCTTCTCCCCAACCCCTTGCAGGTTCACCTGCCAATGCCGACAGCCCCAGCCTCCAGTCTGGCAGTTGTACCTTTATCCTGGTGCCACTGTGTAAAGTCTGTTTCTGCTTCCGAGCGGCCTCTTGCCTCTTCCAGGACTAACCTGTGTTTCCCTTCCCCACTCCCACCCCAATAGCCTTTGCAGATGTGATTGGTGCCCTGTGGCACCCTGACTCTTGTGAAGCTGTAAATCCTACTCGGTTCCGAGCTGTCTTCCAGAAATACGTGCCCTCCTTCTCTGGATACAGGTGGGAGAGCTGGAGGGTACGGGATTTCCCTCTGGCCATGTCTGGGGATAGGACCAAGCAGGGGTCCTGGCAGCAATATTCTGAGCCTTGAGATGTTCTTAATCCAGGAGGTGGGGACCAGTGTCTGGCAGGGGACAGTGTCTGTGGGCTAGGGGATCAGTTGCCCATACTCTTTGGCTGTAGCCAGCAGGATGCCCAGGAGTTCCTGAAGCTCCTCATGGAGCGGCTACACCTTGAAATCAACCGACGAGGCCGCCGGGCTCCCCCAATCCTGGCCAGTAGCCCAGCTCCCTCTCCACCCCACCGTGGAGGGGCTCTGCTAGAAGAGCCTGACTTAAGGTAAGGTTCTCCCACGCCCTTTTCTCCACAGTAGTTTACTGATAGCATCTTCCTTCACAGAGCAGCTAGCCAGGACAGGAGTAGGTCCAGGGAAGTGCACGCTTGGACATGGGTTGGAAGCCGTGCAGAGCGGGAGGCTGGAGCAGATGGAGGCAGAGGCAGCGCTGGGATGTCCCCGTGTCGAAGGAGGAGGGAGAGTTAATTGACAGCAAGGCACATAAAGGGCCGAGACCAGTTTGGCTCAGTGGATAGAGCATCAGCCTGCGGACTGAAAGGTCCCGGGTTCGATTCCGGTCAAGGGCATGTGCCTGGGTTGCGGGCACATCCCCGGTGGGGGAAGTGCAGGAGGCGGCTGATCGATGTTTCTCTCTCATCGATGTTTCTGACTCTATCTCTCTCCCTTCCTCTCTGTAAAAAATCGATGGAATATATTAAAAAAAAAAAAAAAACACATAAAGGGCCTGAAGCCGGGGGAGGAAGACAACATGTTCTTCCTTGTCTAATCCCTTCTTTCCCCAGAAAGTCCTCTGAAGCCTTACTCCTCTTCCTTGAAATTTAGAGAAGGGATCAACCGAAGGACTTATATGCATGCATATAAGCACAACCAATGGACACAAGACACGAGGGGGGGGGATGAGGGCATGCGACAGGGGGTAGGGGAGGCTGGGAGAAGGTCAATGGGGGGGAAAAAGGAGATATACTACTATGTGTAATACTTTAAACAATAAAAAAATATTTTAAAAAAACTTAGAGAAGGAGCTGAGGTATGGGTGGGGTACAGGGCTCTGGATCATTTCAGTGGTGTCTGGGTGCCCACTTTTCCTGCTGTCTCAGGGGTGCTCCCCATTTCCCTTCTGTGGCAGTGACAATGACCGGGCCAACCTAATGTGGAAGCGTTACCTGGAGCGACGAGGACACGCAAGATTGTGGGTATGGAACAGGGAAATAAATCA